GCCGCGGGGGGCGTGGGGGGGGCGGGTAGGGCTCACGGACCCAGGCTGCACTGCCGAGGCAGAAGAACCAGTCAGTCAAGGCCCAGGACCTACATGGGGCCCCCTGGCTGCCCGCCCTCCAGAGCTGGAGGTGCTGGAGGCTTTGCTGAGTAGGGATGGGGCAGGCCTGCTGCTCGGCCAGCAGGGCATCCATCCTCCACCTCCTTTCCCTTGGCTCTCTCCACCCTGGAGACTACAAGAGCTGAGTCTTCCCTTTCCCAGCCTCCTTTTACCTGACAGTAGTCATGTGATCCAGTTCTGAATAATGAGATATAGTCAGAAGTTTGGTGGGAGGGTTCTGGGAAAGCTCTTTCCCCATAAAAGAGACAAGTGGAGCTTGCTATGGACTTGAGAGTGGACTTATGGCCTGGAGCCATCCTGTGAGGAGCCAGGCAGCTCCTTCCCTTGAAGGAGGGAAAGGCCCAGAAAGCCTCTAAGACACCAGCCCAGCCAGGGCTTCTTGGGTGAGAAAAAGAAACCACTCTTTGTTCAAGCTACTGTGATTCGGTTTTCTGTAATTGGCAAATGAGACACTCCTAACTATTGCAGGGAGATTTCAAATGCCAGTTCCCAGCCTCAGAGCAAAATTACCGGGGGCTTTAGAATAAAAACATGATCAAATAGCAAATGTTCATTGAAACTTCTGTGAGCCCAGCACTGAGCTAGCTGGCATTCACACCTAAGTGAGATCCAATTAATACAAAATAAAATCTCATCAAATATTAGGAAAGCCTTTAATGATCATCAAATCGTGTTTGATAAAACACCACACAGAACTCAATGTATAAAACATTAAGTCGGCTTCTTTTAAGGAGAATTGGGACCTAGAAACCTGCCCAATTGGCCCCTTCATATCTTTTATGAACATGGCTGAAATGTTCTGATCTAATACCACAGTGGATTTGACCGTTGCAGAAACTGGGTCTCCCTGGCAGGACGGAGGCAGCTTGCTCTGAGATGTAATGGGTTGGCCATGTGCCTGAATGAAGTCTGCATCCCCAGGACCATTTTCAGGACTGTCTTCTCCTACAGGTCAAAGGAGGGGAGTAGAAGGTCACATAGTAAATTGCACTGCGGCAGCGATGATTGGTCCCGGAGACCAAAGAAAGCAGAAACCCACATGGGCAGACATAGCCACAGCAAGCATCATGGAGGAGGTGGGGCTTGAGTGAGGTTGCCCCCAAGAGACAGCTGACCACACCCAGAGACATGTTTGGCTGTCACAGCTGGGGGAGGCATCTCATGGGTAGATGCCAGGGATGCGGCTGAAAGTTCTACCATGCACAGGACAGTCCTCACAACAAAGAATTATCCAGCTCAGATGTCAATAGTGCTGACACTGAGACACCCTGGAGTAGA